ACTTACGCCGTCCCCTTGTCATTTTTCTGTATCTTACGGAAGGAGCCGTGTCCCGCCCAGTGCGCGGCGCGACCAGGTTTTCAGGACGTCCATAGTTGCTCTCGTAACATTCCAATTGTACTGGGGCCGTAGTTTAGAGTGTATTGTGTACCCATATGGGCGCCGGGGGGGGGGCCGGGGCTCCCCCCCGTAGACCGGATCTAACTAATACATCTTATCCCGTTATCCTGACGGGGGGGGGTGTCGCAACTGCATAAGGTCATGTGAGCGCCGGGACACACCAAACATTTTCAACTGGTAGGAAATTTTGAATTTTGCCAGGATGGCAACGGAGCCTACTCTTTTCGATTTAGGACCACCAAGGGATCTTTAACGTACGTAACTTGCACGTGGGAGATCCGCGATTTTTCCCCCTTGTCCGAGAAGGCTAGGTGTAGATCTTTCCTACCATAAGATCAGGGGTATGGTTGGCCCTGGGGGCAGGGTTGAAACAGCCTACCCCCTTGTAAATAATTTGGATAGTGTTGATATGGGCGTAAAACTTGTGAAATTACTGGTTTTCTGAGTGTTCTAGAGTCTGCTGGGGGTAATGATATACATGGATTTATGGAGCGCATAGAGCTCGTTTATTGAGCGGAAACATGCGCTATACAAATGTTATCTATCTATCTATCTATCTATCTATCTGTCTATCTATCTATCTATCTATCTATCTATCTATCTATCTATCTATCTATCTATCTATTTCATGTACTATGATTATGACTATGATTTTGATGATAACTATTATGGTCATCATCATTATCTTCATTATTATGTTGAAGTTGCCCACCTCCTAATAAATAATTTTGATAGGGCTGGTATGGGCGTTAAACTTATGAAATTACAATTTTACAAAACCTCAAAAGCAAAGCAATTAATAACAAAAAATTCCATTGATATCGAGTATAGATCTGCCTCGTCTGGATCGAATGCTGGCTAAGATAGCCTGTCCTCAGGGCTACCGAGTATGGGAATGCATTATTGTAACAGTACCTGCCTTAGCCATTGTTGGACCTGCGCCAAGGATAAAAGCTCTAACGCCGCTGTTCAAGGCTTCAGTTATTCTCAGGCGCTTTCGAGGAAACCGGCAACTTTATTATGTCGACCGAAATCAGCCAATGTTGAAACTCTGTACGGATTGTCACTGAGACGTGTTAAATTAAAAGATTGTCACTTAGACGAGATTTTTTTTCTGGAAGGACGTAAGTGTTGCATTTTACGATTCTTGTATAAATCATTCGCTTAATATAGGAGACGAAAAGTAATGTTGCACTTTCTCGTGAGGAAACTGCTTTTCCATCGTGGAAAGTACCAGAAGTTGTTGGTTTTTTTCGGGTATTTCATGAGACCTGATCTAATTCATAATTCACTTATGTACCCTAACATCGCATGAGGGTGTGAAAATCATAATATTTAGTCAAAGCTGCTCATGCGACTTTGTCACTTGTCCAAGACAATTACTCTGATTAGTAGGATCTTACACAGCACACTACACAATACAACAGAATATAAACGGTGCAACTTGATGTAATGAACAATGACAGCTTTTCTCCTCCGCAATGGGATCGTCGTGGGCAAGTTTGACTGTATAATTTGTGAAGGTTAGGAAGAACATTGGTAGACCCATGGTATGAAATTGACACAACGCCATAACGCCAGACGCAATTTTACAAGCTCCTTTCGAGGAGACACGTCTAATGTAACTTCCTCTTCCTAAATGACCGCACTCAATAAATACATTATTTGAAGAGTTGAAGAACACTACGTTTGAGATTTGGACAAAGTCAACAGTATTGTAGCCCAGGGTTATATCAACTGTGCTAATGATGCATAGCAGAAAGTGGGTGTTTACGATTGAAGTAAACTGGTGTCTATGGTGTAACGGTTAGGCTTTGCGCTTTTGGCACGCTGGAGACCCGAGCTCGATTCCCGGGTAAGGAAAAGGAGGAGGGGGGGGGGGGGAATCAAGTATCTCGGTCTTCCTGCTGGATTGTTCCCCTCTCAGCCTGGTTTAGCCCTGACAGTCAGCGTCTGAAGCCCGCCTCCTGAATAATCTAAACTGCTTCGGTGGGGGCATAAAAACCCCTACATTTAGAAGGAAAAAAAAGATTATTCAAAAGATTTAAGTAAAGCAGATGGATCGAATACATGTTTCTCCCTTTTTCAGCTGAGACGTTGCACAATGTATCCCTTTCAGTCCGATTTGACCCTATAAACAGGCTTGCCACCTAAACTATCTTTTAAAAATCGATGGGATGCGTGAAACACCTAAATTAACCAAATAAAAACTGAACAACACTTGGGACGAAAAACGCGTTCACTTGCACGTATTTGACAACGACTGTATTTTATCGACTGCACAGTCTCTACTCCCCCATCAACGCAATTTGAATAGATCTACTTAATTAGGAGGTGAGCTGCTTCGATCCTGCCTATGTATTAAAATTAAATTACGCTATGGCCCAAACCCTAGGCAGGAAAACCCAAAACTGTACGGGAGCCTGAAGGATCTGTGGTGAAGATCAGCCTTCGCTCAAAACACCGAGGTGTCCATTTTAAAATGGACGAGAAGAGGAAGAAGACTGGACATAGTCATTGTAATTCGCCCTGTTATATGGTGTTTTTTAATATATATCTCATACCTCGATCAAATTCATCACAGCATTTTGGGGAAAACTTGCAACAGTCAATTTGGTTATGATGGACTTTCAAGCGTTTGACGCGACTGGCTCGAATCCAAATTTGGTTAGTCTTGAACTCAGATAATGGGTGGTTGGCGGGTACCTAGATGTGGTTTGCTCCTTTTTTCCTATCAAACATTTATCGTCCTCATCTTTCTTTCTTCTATTACTTGTATGTTACTATCCACGGTAGTAAAACCTCTAACCCTCGGCACTTACATCACCTAACTGTGTTGCAAGTAAGTGCCGTAACACTCTTACACAAACAAAAACATCCTTAGCTTGTCGGGTGAGTTTCCAGCTTCTCCACCCAGTGGGCTCGGCTCTACCGAAGATGAACGCTCTATTCTTTTTTTTTCGTTGTTGTTGTTTTGTTTTGATTTGTTGTTTTGTGTTTTTTATTGTTTATTTTTGTTGTTGTTGTTTTGTTTTGGGTTTTTTTTCGGGTTTTTTAAAAAGTGCTTTACGGCGCTCGCAACTGCATACGGTCATATGAGCGCGCGAGACACATTAAACTTTATCAGTGGGCAGGAAATTTTTAATTTTGCCTGGGTGGCGGCCAAAGCCTACTTATCGATTCTAGACCACCAATGGATCTTTAACGTACGCAACTTTCACACAGGTCTTCCGAGATTTTTCGCCCTTGTCTGAGAAGGCTAAGTGGTGTAGATCTTTCCTACCATAAGATCATGCTGTGGCTGAAAGATAGCAGTAAGGAGGAGCCAAAGACTAACAATAGAAAGGCTGCAGAAAGAGTCGGGAGCCCAGAGGATGGGGCAAATGGGGTGAGGGGGTGGGGGCAGAAAGTGTAGACGAAAGCAGACGACAGAACATTGTTAGAGAGCAGGAAAAGATGTGAAAGGAGAACATTTTAGAGAAGAAAATTTCCGTCACCATCCAGATTCGAACTCGGGACCTATTGAAAGAGAGGCGAACACCTTATCCTCTAGGCCACGGGAGCCCCCCACACCCTATTCGGAGGTGTTGAAAGTCTCGTCGGGGCCATATACACCAGGCAACAGCTTGCCATAGGAAGCTGAGTTCTACATTATTATGATTGGTGAAAAAGACTCAAAATACATGTAACAAAAGTGAATGCCTGCTACTGTAAGCTGCACAACTGTTATAGTTGGTCTAGATTGCATTTTATTTGTTTGTTTGTTGTTTGTTTTTTGTATGTTTGTTGCTTGTTTTTTATTTTTTTTAATATCTTGAGGTTTTCGGGCTCTTAGGTCAAACCAATTTGGAGATAGCTTTCTTTGTACTTTGTAGAGGTGTATATGATATGTTTATGATGTCCCTGTGCTTACTACAGGCTACAATGTTATTATTGATTCCCTCTACGAATGATATCATTATTATTCTTTCATTGCACTCACTACAGGCTACTATTATCATGTCCACAGAATGGCAGAAAAACAGTCCCAGATTGAATGGGCGGAACGAACGAGAGCCAATCAAGGTTTGGTTTAGATTATTCCGTTGTTTGAGGTTTACATTTCACTACCTTAGAATTACAACATTCCATCTAACATTTTTGGTCGTTTTGTGTTCTTAAGAGCATGAGCTCAGAAACCAAATGTTCTGTCTCCTCTATAAAAATCGGCAGATTATTCGGAGTCGTTATCGAGACATTCAAAGAATTGCAAAAGAGGTGAAGGGCCAATTTAAGGTGTGGCACTCCGTTCCCAAAGAGGACAGAGCCGGTCATTATAGGAATGATATTGAACTTAATTACCCTAAACTTCGAATGATAGTTCGACTCCACTCTAATTTAAACTTAACTCACTGCCGTCAGCGGGCGCATGGCGATCTACAACACATTATGCTCTTTATTCATTGAACTATAATTTGATAAACTGTTGCCTGTTGTATAAAACAGTAATCAAGTTAATAATGATTATTATCATCCAGTGCCAGATCTGCGGCAGACATTAGTGATCGTGTTTCTTCATTCCTTCCTTTGCTCGGATGCTCTTAAAAAAACTACATTTCCCTGATCTTTCCCTGTTACTCATTTGTTTAGGTTTCCTAAGTAGGTGACTCTGGGCCTACCCCTGCCTCGTTCACCTTCAATTTTGCCAGTGAGAGCTAGACGTTC